TAAACTATTATGATCATTATCATCATCATGAACTTATTTTTCTAAAAAATTTGGTACATATAGATCTTTGAGTTATTTTCACTCCTCAAAGTGGTCATTGCTTCTACATTTTCGAAACCTTGAGATGTAAATGGTTCATGGCTACTAGAAGGCTGATTTCGTGAGTTCATGATGGGTTGACTAGGAAGATGACTTATTTTACATTTTGAATGGACCAAGGCTAACTTACATTCTCTCTTTTTCTAACCTAAGAGGTGTTTACTGGTCCTTTTGTCTAATTTTCTCTATCATCTTCATCATAAATGTATTTACTTCTTAAAATTTTTGCATCATTTACCCCATAAATTGTTGTATCGAATTTAAATTCATATAAGATTAATTTGATATGAATTAAGATATTGTGGGCTAAAATTAGGGACCTAACTTGAAGAAGAAAAGGTAAAATTGTGGATTAGTGCCTGATGAGTACCTTGCTGAAAATTATAAGTATTTTGTTGAAACAAGGGCTTAGCATTATATTGTGGTTGATTAGGAGGTATAAATGTATATTAGGTTTAGGAAATGATTGAGAATTTATAGCATGATTTTGAGAATTTGAAAAATTATTCTGATTTTTCCAAGGAGGATTTGACTGATTCCTACAATTATAAAGTGCATGTGGATGCTCTTGATCTAAATTTAGACATTGAGATTCAGAATAATCAGTCCTACCACATGATGAACATCAAGAATATGAATGTTGTGCAAGTTATGTAAGTTCTTTTTTATATAGTAAATGATCATATAAAATATTTAACTATTGATGAACCTCACTAATTTCATTTCTAAAGTCTAATGCATCATGATTTCTAACATCAAACATTCCTCTTTTATTTTCATTATTGGTACAATGATATAAAGTAAAAGATTCAAATTTAGTTAAATTTTTACTTAAATTTTCATATAATCTATAAATTTCATCCTCATCTTTACTCATGAATGGGCCTCCAAATGCAACATTTATAGTGTTCTTGTGTTGTTTAGATATGCCATCATAAAATACATAATTTAATTACCATTTGGCAATTTCATTATGTGGGCATCTCCTTTAAAGCTCCTTGAATCTTTCTCAAGATTCATGGAATATTTCTCCTAATTTTTAAGTAAATTAGAGAATGGTTTCCATATGGCATGAGTCTTGCCAATGGGATAAAATTTTCTTAAAAATACTTACTCTACTTCTAACTATGTGGTGATCTCATGTGGTAATGATGTGAGCCAATCTCTAGCTTTATCATGCAATGAATATAGAAAGAGACACAATCTAAATGCATCTTGAGGAATATTATGAATATGGATAAGTTTACATGCAGCTAAAAATTGAAGAATATGTTAATATAGTTCCTCATTAGTTAACCCACGAAATTCAAGAAATATTTCTAAAGTGTTATGACGAATATCAAGATAAATATTTGACAAAATAATAAGTTTAACCTACAAAGTAGGTGGTGTGCACTTGTTGTTGTGTTTAAATGCACAGTATCTAATAATATTTATAACTAAGACTTAATAAAATACTAGTATAGAAGTTAGTTTATATATTAAGTGATTTAAATATGTTATTAATATTTAATAAGAATAATAAATAGAATGGTGAAGTGAGAAGAATAAAGAAAGGAAAGCAGAGAAAAGGAAGGAGAAAAAGAGAGAAGAGAGAGCTCTCAAGAGAGAGAGAAAGGATGAGATCTCTCATGAAAGGAAGAAAAAGAGAGAGGAGGAGAGAGAGCTCTCATGAGAGAGGGAAGGGATGAGATCTCTTGTGAAAGGAAGAGAAAGAGAGAGGAGGAGAGAGAGCTCTCACAAGAGAGGATGAAATCTCATGTGAAATACAGAGAGAGAAAAGTCTCACGAGAGAGAGAGAGAGAGAGAGAGAAAGAAGGAGAGAGAAGGAGACCAATTGAGAGAGAGGGAGAGAAAGGGAGAGGTTTCACAAGAGATGGAGAGAGAAGAGAGGTCTCACAAGAGAGGGAGAGAGAGAAATAAGATGAAAAATGAAGAAAGAGAGAAATACGATCAACCCATTTTCTCAGATGAATGTCTGCTCAAGGATTCACACACAGGACATAAGGTCAGCTGTGAATGTCTCCAACTTGTTTCAACTGTTGAACGCTCATTAATCAACCCTTAATATTTGTGATTTCACTTTTGAAAATAGAAAAAATATTCATTATTCATAGAACATCAGGAACATGAATATATTAATCTTTGACTACAAAAATTAATAGAAAATAAGTTGAAAACAATCTTAGCTTAATCACAAATGAATTTTGAAGGAATCAAAAAAAGAATGAAGATCATTCATCAAGTTTTGAATTAGTTCTACTCATTTCAATCGAAACATGCATGAAACAAAAAGAACTTGTCATAAAATATAAGTAAATGACAAAAGTAGGTAAGCAAATGCTGAAAATAAGAAATAAATTATTGCCAAAGTTTAGCCTACTTCTTAGGCAATTGGAGACACCAGTGTGGCAGGTTGGTTTTATCCGAACGTGTCACACCACGTCAAAAGTCACAAAAGTATCCTACGGAACTGTTGTGCTGCTTGCCAGAAAGATCCATTGAAAAAGGGGTCAACCATGTTGTCACCATTGTCAAGGGGGAGAAGGGAAGTGCTTACCACTTACTAGAGGCCTTGAGTGTAGTCAGGAGAGGAAGAAATAAGTTTGTTGATCGCTAGAGACATTGATCGTGCATAAGAAGGGAAGAACTAATTACATATTCATGACTGCCATCAGGATTTTTAAAGATAATCAATAATATCTATTTTACCAAAAATAATCAATTATTATCTTTATGTCCCTAATAGTGATACGTGTGAAGACTTAAATTCCCAATATCGTGGTGCTTTGATAGCTACTAGATCAAATGAGCTTAGTATGTGGCACGCTAAGCAATGCACGATCAACCCACCATGAATCGTTGTCAATCAGAAACTTAAGTTCTAGTACTGTGGCATCTCCATAGCCATTAAATCATCCTTTAAGACCACATGTGTGCTGAGCAGCATTGGATTCGTGAATCGCTGATGAATCACTTTATGCATCAAGTATCATGACGGTTCTCTAACCATAGGATCAAGCTGATTGGATGACGTGGCTCTCTACATACCATTGGAGCACATCGTACTCTAGATGGTTGTGCTGAAATAGACGAAAACATTTAGTCTCACATCGTAAATATTTTGGACCATATGCTGAATATAAACTAAAGCTACAGTTTCTCAATAGAGATCCTTCTCCCGAAATAAATAATGTCCAAGATCATCTTAGGAGAAGGTAATAAGGTGGTCTACCCTCATGCGTGCACGTGTGTATGGGCACTCCTTGCCCCACAACCGGTTAGCCATTGGGACGTGGAAGGGGATGATGTACTTGTGTGTGGAGTGAGGCCTTCATCACTCGAGCCTAGGTCATGGCTCCCCTAGTCTGGGTCTATCTACTTGACCACTGTCCCCCCTCTAGGTCAACTATTGAGTGTCGACTTGCCAATAGGTAGAAGAATTTTTTATATTTTATTATTTTTACTTTAATAATCAAAATTTTCTAACTTCAAACTTTTAAAATTAATAATATATCCTATATTTATTCTATAAGTTATCAAAATAAAATTAAATAATAAAGCTAATGAAAACACATAAATCTAGCTTTAGTAGGTCTATATAAATCATGTATAATAACCATACATAGGTTTATAAGGTTGAGTATTTTCAACATTCTCACTCTCTTAAATTGGATGATTCACCCCAAGTGATTCTACATCTATAGAAGATGATTTTTTTTCTTTTCCTATTGTTGTAGTCTCTAATATAGGTAGTAAATTCATTTTTCTTGTGCCCCTAAATTCTTAGATTGGTTGGTAGCTGAATTTTCTAAGATTGATTGGAGGCTACATCTACTGTTCATAAATTAAGTTCTCAAAATTTAATTCTAGCAATAATCATGATATGAATATATGATTCTAATAAATATGTCAAAGAGAAGTATAGAATCAATGTGAAATTTAAAATACTCAAGTAGATAAATAGAAACTAAAGATTTAAAATTTTAACTTATGAAATAAATGTAAATAGAAATCAAATGAGCCTAATAAATCCTTTTTTAATTTTTTAATTTTTTAGAGATATTATGATAATAATAAAATAATAAAAGCTATAATAATTATTTTAAAAAAAACACTGAAATATGAAAAACTAAATCAGTTAACACCAGTTAAAAACAAATCTCCTTGGCAACGACGTCAAAAAGATGGTGTTTATAATAAAAATAATAATAAAAGACAAATGAAATGTGATACTTGGGTGCAGAAATCTAGAAGAGAAAGTTGAAGATAGTTTGAAAACTTTAAGTAAACTTTTGATCATTTAATTAGTGATCGTCGAAAATGAAATATGTTAAATTTCATGCATTTAAGAGACTGAAAGTTAAAATTAATATTTTTGAAATAGTTCATTTAGATATAAAACTATTTTTCATTTTTGATCTTGTAGGTAATGATGTTAAATCAATCAGATTATACAAATGATGATACATGTAAATCACATATAGATATACACACAAGACTCTATAGAGCTAAGAGATATCCCTCATTGTAATATTTCCATTCCCAACTACAAATGCATGTGAGGAATGAAGTTTTTCGTGTCATTTCATTTAAGTGTATGAGTCCTGATATCAAGCATTATCATCACAGCCTGCGTTGACCCAATGATGACCATCCTAATATAATAAGAAACCCAAAACAATCCATAGATCACTCAATTTTCATTGACTGTGTTACCTTCGTAATCATGCATCACTAATGAGTCAATAAATTGGCATCTCCACTTGATGCGGAGCAAGTTTATTGTCAATGTGCCTTGTTGATTAGGAGATATTCATCCTTCCCAATATTCTTCAAGGTAACATCATCCTCACAAATGGTTCTTATGAGTAAATTAAGTGTAATTCCTCAAATGCAATTCAATGCAGTTGTTGGAAAAAAAAAAAGATCTGGGATCTTAATTGCGCAAAATATGAAGATGAGCAACAAAGGTAGACGACTAATATTTGCTCATAATACATATTCATAATACATGGTTTTATCTTAACTCCATGCATGGAAATGAGTAAAGAATTTTCCGTAGCTAAATATATTCATTGGGGAAGATATCACTTCTCCAGAAAGAATTGTTGCCCATTGTCATCTTCCTTCAGCTCATTTAATCCGACGGGATATGCAGTTCGGCACCGCCGTGTAGTTTAACTCACACTAACAGAACCCATATCAAAAACAACGATCTTTCACAGCTTGGGAATCATTTAGAAAAGCAACATAGTGATGACAGACAATGCCCACGAACTCTTTGACTCGCATTGTGTGTTTCAACACAAGGTTCCCCCACAATTGATTGTGAACCATAAACTAGTTTCTAGGTCAATGAAGAAGGGTTAAGATCACTTGGAGACGAGAGTCGTGCGGGCGGGGAAGAAAAAACTTCAAGAAGAAATACGCTACCCACGATGTGGAGGGTGAAACGAGACTCGACTAGCTCCAAGGTAGTAAATTGATAGCCCTAAGATTGAGAAAGATGTTGAGAAAAAGGTAATGATAATTTCTCTCAACCCTGGAGGACGTGGCAATTGATTCAACCAGACATACATCAGGGCCGTTCCTTCAAGGGATGGGGGGGCGGGGAGGGCGGGGGGGCGGCGTCACTGCCTGTATTGTGTCCACACAACGCGCTCGGGATCTTTCTTCATTTACCTCTTATTCCTCCGCGACGGCTCCTCACCTTCAATCGAAGCCTGATGTTCAGTACCAGTGACCCCCGTTTCGATGGATGGTTTGAGTGACCGATCCGTGCATCCATAGTCTCTCGGAAGGTACGTCCGTTATATGCCGCTGCCTTCTGTCCCTCCGATTTCATGACCCTATCAGCACGCGGCAGAGACTAGAGCCGGGTCCTCTCGTCTCGACCCATCCGCGGAACACATATTGGCCCCATGGACTCTCCGGAAGACAAAATCTGAGGATCTGTGTCCCTCCCTGGGGCGACGTGACTCCGGACCATGGTTTTCGTACGGTCGGACATTCAAAGCCCCGACTTATCATGTGATCCTTGCCGTATTATTGTCATCGTCATTAACATTGCCGTGATAGCTGAGAGCGATCGTTGTTGAATTGATCTTCGTCTGCCTCGGCTGACGAGAGCGACGCCCGTAGAGGGTTATGGCTGAGGCAAGACCGTCAGCGGTGGCGGCGGCAGACCGAAGGGGGAAGGTCCCCCGCGTCCCAGAACCCAACCCGCACGGCGCCAACCATTGGAAGGCTGTTCTGTATTGACAAATCTGCACTGGCAGGTGTCCGTCCAATGCGGCGACTTTTGAAGTCCCTCCTTCCTGGAAGGCGGCCCGGATTAATTAAGGTAGCTTGAATTCCACCGCCGTCCACAACTCCTGACTGTCGCCGCTACCCTGCCCGTGGACCAAATTCCCTCGTGTGGGGCGACGACTGCGGGCAACGATCATAAGGACTTGCCGTTGGAGCAGAGTTCGACAGCCTCTCGACCGCCGCCCTTGCGGTAGCCTCTTACGGCGCCACGCGTCTTCACAGCCAAAATGCTCAACACCTCACTTTTCGGGTCGACCGTTCTTCTATCAACAGTTGACTCTTGATGATGACAATTAACTATTTTCCTTAAAAATAGTTGACTCTTTCTACTCTCATGGCGGGTTCCAGGGCCGGTCGCATTGATGGTGCCCGTTCTTCTTCGCTTTGACATGGCTGTTCCAAGCAGGGAAAGGGCAAAGGGTTTGAGTTTCTTCAATATCTGTGCGTTTCCCTTCGCTCGAGACTGCGACGCGTCTCATCTTACCATGTCCTCATCGGCTAAAAAATCTCTTATCATATTCCCCGAGTCTTTCGTACGGCGGCTATTTTATGGCCCGTCGCCCGCAGCGGTGGCCGGATAAGGCCGCCCTCCTCGGCGGCGGGGGATCGGGTCGGGGCTTGATATAGGAGAAGCCTAATAATAACAAGGCGAGGGGGGCCGGGAGGAGACTGATGGCAGCAGACGAGACTCTTTATTAAGTGCGACTTCCTCTGACGAGGGTTATTTTGTGATTTTCAGGTTTTCCACTGTCCTTCGGTCTCGACCGGTCGATTTTATTATTGGTTAGCCTTGCAGAGGCCTGGAAGCCCTAGGAGGCCGACATGCGGCCGATCAGCAGCCTCGCAGGACCGCGCCTGCGTCGGAGAAACATCCGCCTGGCTCGGCCGCGGTGTAATCTGCTTGGCAGCCCGTCCATCATGTGCCAAACTTGCAGTGCGTCACATAGCCTCTCTCGGTCGTCGTCTTCGCCCCAGGAAGCCTCCCAAATCGGAAGGCCGAAACCAGCTCCTCTCCTCCTGCCGCTTTGGTGAAAGAACCAGCCTCGCTCGCATTCGCGGAATCCATCCGCTCGGAAGACCGTTCCCGGAGGCGGCAGGGGCGAGAAGTCATTTGGTAAATCCGTGGGAATCCAAGAGGGAGAGGGAACGGAGCGAGCCATCCCCGCGGGAAAAAACCCTGCAGAACGCAATTAATCAACTGCAGACGGCTGGGCGACCTCTTCGACACCGAGCTCGCTGCAACAGGCTCTGTCTGACAAGGAATGGGCGGGAGTACGAACAGCTGGTGATGCAAACAGTAGCCAAGGGCATGGATCACGAGGATGCTGCAGCGCGACACCAAAAAGAGCTCCGGCCGATGATGAGCGAGGGGGGAGAGAAGGGAAACCCTAGTGAAGACAAGGATGTCCCAGTGCACCGATAGATACGTTCGTTGTCCACGAGCGTCCGTCCTCCAGGTGAGCGACCAACCAAGGGGAAGAAAGAAGAATTTGACGATCAATATAACAAAGAAATATCCTTCGAGAAGCAAGGAGGACGGTCGGCGCCCGGAGAGAAGGAGAAGGCCGAGAGGAGCGAGGGCGCTGCCGTTGACGAAATGAGAGGCATTGCTTGTGCAGTGTGGTAGGGAAGTGGCACTGGAGTGTTGTTGCTGATAACGGAGAACAGGAAGGGGAGCATCTCCACAGTAACTATCCATGGGAGACTTACCGGGAGTAAAGTGACCGCCCCGTCGAATTCGCTCCACCTGCATCCACATAACCCCACGGCTTGGCCCGGGGGGTCAGACGAATGTCCAGCAAATCACGGCGCGCTGATGATGATGATCGGACACAAGGAAAAACCAACTCAACGACAAGGAAATATCAGAGCAGCCGCCGAGCTAGGACGAAGAAGACGACGGTTGCTGCGGCTGCGGCTGCGGCTGCGGCTGCGGTTGTGGCTGCGGCTGATCGTCTAGGTGATGCTCCTGTTGCTGCTGGTCCTCCCCTTGGGACTGCTTGGACTTGAGGACAACGTTCTTGTTGTTGTGCATCCACACCTTGAAGACCTGCCGGCTCACCCCGGCATCCCTACAAAAGCGATCCAAAGCTCCGTCGTCCTGCTTTTGCATCCGCCATCCCACGCGCTCCGCAAACTCCGCCATCATCTCCTTCTGCTCTGCCGTGAACTTGGTCCGGTGCCGCTTCTTCGCCGACCCTGACGCTGACCCTGACCCTCCCACGATCTGGTAATGCTGCATCTCCCCCATTCCAACTGCATGCGAAGATTGGAAAGGGTGGGAAGTATGCGCCACCTGACGGAACGGCGTCACTCCCGCCGCCGCAAGCATGTTGGCTTGGATATCCCCGCTTGAGGACTCGGTAGTGGTAGTCCCCCCGCTGTAGTTGTTCTCTTCATCATCGTGGGCGCTTGCAAAGTTCACCGCTCCCGACATGGACGGAATGAACCCCGTCCCAACCGACCCCGGCGGTAACAATCCCAGCCGCGGGTGCTGCTTCTGGCGACCGGCGGTGAAGGGCGTCTGTAATGATAAGGGCTGCGGGTTATGCAGATTCCTAACGCCGCTGCCGCTTCCCCTCCCGGTGCCACCAGGGTATGCCCCATTGCCGACGCCGCTTGGTATGTAGTAGCAAGGGAGAGCCCCGCGTTGTGCACCTGGCGGCGGTGATGCCGAGGAAAGGGGGAGGAACAGCCCCTCCGCCTCCTCTCCGCCTTCCACTTCCTTCCTGTGAAAGCTACGGTGGCAGGCGCAAGCGGCACACTTGAGGGCCTCTGCCGTGCCCTCTTCGCCGCAAGGCATGAACTCGCCGCAACCGTCGAGCACATTTCCGCCGATCCTGGCTGCGTGGTTCTTCAGGCACTCCCTATACCTTACGGTGGGGCCGCTGCCCAGGGTTCTAGGAACGGAAGATGCCGCGCTAGGCCCTCTCGCCCTTGTCCTCGTCGCTGCCGCGATATCCGCCCTCGCCGACGAAGGCCCACCACCGTCCATGGTATGCGGAGCACCCACTGCTGCTGGGAAAGGCTTGGGAGCGCCTGCATCGGGGTGATCCTTGCGTACCTCACCCGGATGCTGCCGCTGTAGTGGCCCGGGACGCTCTCCGACTAGACTAAGGTTGGGATCGAGCGACGAGGGGAGCTGCACGGCCGTAGGCCTGGGGCTGTTATCGCTGGCCTCCTCAGATGACCCACCTCCTCCCAGCTCTTCTCCTCCAGATGATAGCAGCGACTGCTGTTGGTGGGAGTGCTGCGGCTGCCTGTGGGACGAAGGGGTCGAGGCGGGGGGGGGCGGAGGGGAAGAGGAAAGAGGAGAAGGGAAAAGCAGGGGCCGGCGGAAGGCAGATCCCGAGGCGAGGATGCCGGAATGGTTGTAGCTGAGGGCAGAGGGGTTGGGCACGGGGGCAGGGGCGGAGGCCAGCGAGGAAGGGGGCATGGCGCCCAATTCCCCCTCCTGGTAGAGATGCCCAAGGTCAAGGCGGCGGTGGTGAGGGAGGAAATCGTCGCCGTCGCTGTCGTCGTCGTGCCCTCGGAGCTCCATCCCGCACTCGTCAAGATCTAATCTTGCAAACAGCACAGGCTCTTGCTGGGGCTTCCTTCGCCAAGGCCCTCGGCAGGCGCCAACAGCAGAAGCACCATCAGGGAGGGGGGCTGCAGCAGTTGCCAACCGTGGGGATTTGGATGTCGGATCGATGGTGCCCCCCCATCACGACCGCAATCCGGAGGGGAGAGCCGGCGGGAAGGGGAAGGGCGCTTGATCCGTGGGAGGCCACGCTAACAAGAGGCTGGGGGAAGGTACGGGGGCCCCGTAGATGAGTGGTATGGGACCCACCTCTTGTCTCCTCCTCCCCTTGCTGCTGCTGTAGCTGCAGCTGCCGGCTGCCCCCTCTGATGGTGGTGCCAGCAGATGATTGCGGGTAGGCCAGCGAATTTTACTGCGGTTTTCTTCTTTACTCTTATTTTTCACAGAAACGAAGAAAGAAGAGAGAGAGAGAGAGAGAGAGAGAGACAGAGAGACAGAGAGAGGGAGGGAGAGAAAGAGAAGTGACGAATTCAATTCAGCAGTGGAGCATGGGGAGATCTGCAGTGCAGCTGATGCCGAGACGTGGTGGTAGCGGGGGGGAAGGGCAAGAGATGGTGAGACCGGGCGTGCGGTTTGCCTGTGATCTCGGTCCAGTTTGGCTTCCTTCAGCCTCAAAGTCCCACCAAACCCGCCCCCCGTTTCCCCCACCTAAAAGCCTATTGCCCGTTGATTCTGCTCGACTTATTGCATTCCCTGAAACGCCTTTGATGGTACCCATCATGGCCTCTATCTCTCACATAAGAGGGAGAGACAGGGAGTAGGTGCAGGTATGGCTCGGCCCATGAATAGCCTTACGCATCACCTTAGAAGTCCCCCACCACGTCATCCGCTATCCTACAGATGGGAAGGGAGGGGGGGGGGATCTTCGCCATTGAGCGCGCGAGTGAGGCTCCAAAGGCGGGGGCTTTCAGAGGAGTCGCCGGCCCACGGGAGGAGGGCCGGCAAGTCCCCCGGGTCCCCACCCCGAAAGCATCGCTCCTGCGGCTGGTCCCCGTCTTTCCCACATTATTGCACCCTCTCGCTCTCAGTGTGGGTGTGCGTGTCCAGCACTGTGTGGTTGCCCTCCGTAGACAGGAAAAGCAATCCTCCGTGACCTCAGTCGTAGACCGAGTCCTCGGCCCCCATCCGGCCCTTGATATTCTCACTGTCACCGCCAATTCGCCCTGTCCCTCTCAGGCCCTGCTTCCCCCAGCCGGAGTGGAGATGCGACGGTCATCTCTGGAGTTACAGCTCCCCACGCCCCCTCCGCTCACTGTAAAAAGCCTTCTTTTCCTTGTTGGGACTCGGTCAGCTGCCCCTCTCCACTATACAGGCCGGTGCAGCGTCGAGACCCGCAAAGGTAATTAGCTCCGGTCTCCCTGATTGCACCAGCTCCTTGCCCAATCGAATATGGGCTCCTCTCTCTCTCTCTCTCGCTTTCGCTCGCCCTTCGAGGCGCCTGCTGCGTCCAAGGTAGGCCTGGTTTCTAGGTCAAGTTCGCACGTGGCAAAATATCCGTGCGACGTCTCCCTCCGACGAGTTTCTCTGGAGATAATCTCCAACGACACGGCCACCATCCGTGACGACGCTGGAATCTTGCACCGCTCATTGACAGTCTGGGGTCGATCAGCGTGCCGTTGCTCATTGCCGTCCGTGATTAGCCTACCACTGACTGCCCATGATTAACAAGACCTCATTGTCGCCAATTAATGCGGGCCGACGCTGAACTCTTCTGATGCCCCTTGTGACTCTATTTGGTTCCCAACGGTCATGAACCTCTCATCCTGAGTCAGATTCGAGGGATGTGACCGTACGGGGGAGGCGGTGGCCTCGTTGCTTTATGGGAACGGTCTCTCAACCCTCCTGATTCAAAACAATGCACTATTCACATGAAATTTATTGTACATGGTTTTTATTACTTTCATAATTTAGAAAGCGTCTTGGGCATGGATTCTAACGAAGCCGGCGTTTTTTACTTTTCTCCAAATACTCAATTTACTGTATATACAGTGTCTGAGAATCATCACATATATACAAAATCCCGGGCCCAAAATAAATTAAAACACCCTCTCAGTCTACAAGAAATTAAGACAGATAAAAAGATCTTTAAAGCCCAGTTCGCGACGCATTCCCTGTGTCATCTCACGCCAGTCAAGATGACACCCCCATCGTAACTAGAGGATAAATCAAATACTTGTTTGGAAGATAGATTCTGTTTGACATTACACACAATCTTGGGAATAATGTCGAAATTCAAGCTTTTTATGAACTCAATGAGAGAACAATACAGTTTGCAACCATGAGCCTCTTAGAGCCATACTAGAATCTCCTATAATAGCATATTAAGCCGGTAAATTTTAAAGAATTCAAAGCAATCTCTACGTAATCACTTAGAACTCTAGTTTTGTCAATCCTAAGAACGGATTATGATCCAAGAACTTTTGGGAAACATTATCTCCAGAAATCTATCTCATTCCATTAACAATGAATATGGTCCTCAAAAAAATATCATAGCCTATGGATAGGTATTCTTAGGAAGAAAGTTTACTCAAGGAATATGCTATGACTATTCAATGGTAACCTCTTTGATGTGTCAATGTGGATGAAGCTTATTATTTCTTTCTTTGATGACTTCATTCAAATTTCCATTATTTGAATATCATGCATTTGCACCCTCAAATAAAATACGTTGTACCTAGAGAATTTTAAAAACAAGGAACTTGGCTCTTTTCCTATAGTTTCTTGTATCATATGCCACTTATGTTATACATTACATCACATATATTTTCGTGTTTTATAACATTTCCTATGATTTTGAGGAACAAGATCAAGATGACAAATTTTGAGATGATGGATCTGAAAGTGGATCAATTTTTCCTCATTTGGAGACCAAGGTAGTCCCTTAGCACCCCACTAGAACTTGTACTTGATGGATACCTATAGAGGTAAATAGGTTACTAGATCAACTATTTCTGTATTTTGAATATTTTTTCGGTTGTGTTTAATTTTTTCTATATCTAGCGAAATTTTAGATGTATATATATTTGAACCTTGACCAATTCTTGGTCTTGGGTTATTGCCAAGGGGTTAGGCTCAATCTAACCTGACACAATGATAGCTAATAAATAAGTTATTATGTGAATAAATTTCTTTATTTTTTAATAACTTGTGTAGTTGTGTAATTCTTTTTTTAGTTCATATTTACAAACTAGATATCAATAAATGAGCATAATTTGTGTCTTCATTGGGATCCCTTGTGGGGTATGCTACATAGGCTAAGTTAGGTATCTAATATCTATATATATATATATAAGTCAGGTATCTAATATAGTGCTATGTTTGTGCCCTAGGCCTATCAATCTTCAGGATGGCAGATCAAGCCTATTGATATCAACTTTCAAGGCTGCTCAAGTAGACTTGAGGGCTACACATTCTACTGTGAGGAATAGACTTGTGTCATTTAAATAAGCCAATATTATATTGGTTAATTCATGCCTTGACTTGATGTTTGAGATCTTATAATTTCAAAGTAGTGAATACTTACCTTTTCTTTTATAATCGACTAATGTATGAGGAGTTTGACAGCTATATAAACAAAAAATTCAATTGCTTATGTATTTGTTAATTATAAGATAGGATATGGCATCCAATTTTATCTTGGATTCGTCATCCAGTTATTTTTTCCAAGTTGAAGTTTATGTACATTTTGGTTGTGCTTACTTTGTTAGAAAATAGCACAAAATTCAGTTTTTTTTAAAGGTCTTATTAAGAAAAGAGTTCTTGTACATAGTAAAGCCGAGGGAGATGTAATCGTTGGAATCACGTTCGGTACGGGTCGTGGACAAGTCTAGATGCATTAAGAGTGGCCATGGCAGGTGCATAATGCATGGCAAATCTAATTCCAAAGGATAAAATAAGGTTTTGCGGCAACATAGTAAACTTCGTTTAGCGTACCGGACGACAGTGGTTAACATGTGAATAATATGCCAAGGGGACGATAAGTGTCTCAGACAGGTACTAAATATTATGACGTCTAATGTAAGCGAAGCTTACTCTTGTCTTAATATGGTAATACGGGGAAAAAATATTTCCCCAAAGAGATATAGACCAAATATAGGCAGATTGTGAGCCTTGGAGAACAGGTTAAACTCATAAGATCAGTAGGATAGGATGACCAAAGATTCGCTTCAAAAACTCATTTGAATAACATTGTATTCTTGTGATAGCAACGTAAATTTTCTTATCTTCCCCACAACCTCATTGAAGTAACATTATCTTATTGCCTGGTTAATTCTCTTTGATTATTAACCTTGCCGACTTCGTTCGATAAACATATTTAAGCAATGCTATAAGGTTATGTTAAGTGATTGATAATCCTTTTTTCTTTTCTCGTGTAGACATTCTAGCAGCCTATAATCTATATTTGTGATAGT